CACACACACACAATCCACTGATATTAAAGTGATACTGTTGGTTTTAGTCAGAGGACTTAGTTTAATCTTCATCAGTTCACTTCATAACCATCCTGACGAGTCCACATGTTGTTCTGCAGAGTACCAGCAGTGTTTCCTTTTGATGACTCCTCCATGTAAACCCTGTTAATGCACCCTGGAACTGTGCACTGCCATTCGTGTGCGAGCTAAAACATGTGTGCAGCTCCCAGTCCCCCTTTTCATGCATTGCCATTTCATAATGACATTTCAGACAGAGGAAATTTCAAGCTGGAAAGTGCTTTGATATCTTTTTATAGCCTGCTCCTGCTTTGCAGGCATCAGTTAGCTTCACGTCCTTCAAATCCTCAGTCACTTGCTTAGACGAGCTTGTGGCTGCAGAGTCAGAGATTTTAAGTCCTACAATTCCTGATGACAGTTTCTGGCCTGCCGTACAAGGTGCTAACAAGTTAACAAATGATTCAGGGTTGCAAGCAGAGGTGAAAAATAAGTCCACTCTAAAGTTAAAAAGCAGTATTAATAGAGTTGAAGCATATTAAAAACAGATGTAAGCATGTAAAACTGTGAATGATTATTACGATAAAGTTGTTTAAAACACAGCATGTGGTTTTCAGAACAAGACACTCAACTGCTGAGACTATAGACGGCTGAAATGTATGAATATAAAATGAAAGACTGGAGAAAGAATGTTTTATGAAGCATGTGATCAATACTTAACAGGAGGGAGAGAGAACAAACCCCTGAGACTGTACGATCTTTAATGAAAGATTTTTAGAGAAAAACTGACACTAATAATAACAAAGCCATCTTCTGCTCCTAACGAGTGCAGAGATTGAATAATGAATAGGCACAACTAAAATAATTAATATCATCCATAATATGCAACAGTGTTGCTTATTATATGAAAAGCTGGATGTTTTTGTAGAGTCGCACAAACACCAGGACGTCCTCATGCAGTTGGATATGTTGTTTGTCAGGCCCAACTGTGAAGACTTGACAATGTGAGGATTCACAGTCCTCGTACTGTACTTCTTTTAATTTATGCATACATTCCTCACATACATATTCAAAATACTGCAACATGCATATTGCATCACACACAGTTTTACATGCGGATAAGTAGCCAGCTAATTAGCTGGCCATACATGGTTGCATGCGTGTATCACACACTGAGAGGACCCTGGTGTTACTTCAGGCGTACTGAGGCACCGGGTGACTGGGACGGGGCTGTGTTTAAACATGTATGTAATGTATCTGCAGTGTTTGAATCATGAATGTGTCTCTTGCCTCCGTCAGGTGCACTGTTAACACCGCTGTTAGCTTTAGATCTTAACAACTTCAACATCAGCTACATAGTCCATGGGACAAACGTAATAAAATAAGTCCACACTTTTAACGTGTGTGTGTATGTTTCAAGTATGCTGCGTTGCTTAATGACAAATCACAAAAATTTGGAACTATGTAGAATAATTTTGCTTT